AAAAACGCTGAGTGCCTCAGGCCAGAACGCTGAGTCCCTGAGTCCCTGAGGCCAGAGGTCTAGGCGTCCTTTGATGTGAAACTGGCCAAAACGCGGTATTTTTGCTGGCAAACTATGGGAACGCGGTAAAGCTGCAACGAAACCTCTATTTTTGGAAAGGCAACTTCGAACGGACGACATTTTTGCTGCCAAACTTCGAAACGAATTCTTTTAACTGTATTTTGACAGGGTAGTTATGCAAGGAGATCCCTGTGAGAAGTTTGCGCGAAAACTGCACATGCTACGTCCTCGTAAGGGGTGCTTCAACCCCCTTTTTGCAGTGCTTCACACCTCTAAATTTGTGCCTGGGTTCGTGTGCTTGGAGATTTTTTACCACAAAAGGGAGCAAATCCGCAACCATTCCTTTTTTTCTTTTTCTCCGAAACCGAACGGAACTACTATGATTTTACATAAGCGAGGCAGCCGCCAGGCTGAGGCTGTTGTATAGCCAGCCCTTGGTTGAACCCGGACCGTGTCTCTGTTGTCAGTGACATGCTAATGGCGAGGGGCAGTGGTGGTGACAAGCCGTGTTTGTGCATAGCGTTGTCTGTGTCTAATGGGACCCAAGTATTTACTGTATTTGCTTTGTGGCTGGTAGAATAAATGTTAAACTTAAAATAAATTTCATGTTTACTACGACAAGAATGGCCGGTTGAATAAATGTTAAACTTAGAATAAATTTTATGTTTAGTACGACAAGAGGTGCCTGCAACTGCTGTCCGGTATATCCGAGGCAGATGGGGAAGCAGGGGTTACGCCAAGGAGAAGAACGAGGTAGGGTAGGGTAGGGTAGGGTAGGGTGGGGTGGGGTCCTGTGAGCATCCAAAAAAAAAAAAAAAAAAAAAAACCACCACCACCACCATAATGGCTCTTACAACCAAATGCAGACTGTAAGAGGATACCGCAAGTCTTAGAATCTGATGGTTTCCTCGTCCCAACCAATTAGTCTCTAACTTAAAGGCCTGTTCAGTTTTATCTGGCACATGCCACGGCAAAGCAACCAGGCTGCCACTGGCAGGCAAAAATCAAGATAATGAGCAGGATCAAAGATTCTGAACTGAAGCTTATAGTTAGCAAAGACCGGAATTTAGCGTAGTTGCGTAGGTGCAGCACCGGACTGTCCCGAAATATTGCTTCCTAAATTTAGCGTAGGTGCAGCACCACACTGTCCCAGAACAGTGCTGCAGCTACGCTAAAGTCCGGTGCCTTCGCCAGGATCTTATAGGCCACATTTAATACAGTGATTGGCCTGTAATTTTTCACCTCTTTCTTATCTCCTTTCTTATACAGGAGCAAGATAACAGCGGTGAGCCATCCTTTAGGGAGCTTCCCTGACTGGAGTGAGTTATTGAAAATGTGACAAAAAAAAGGGCCGAAAGCCTCCCATGTACACACAACAAGTTCAATAGGTAGCCCGTCAAGCCCAGGGCACTTGCCTGTGGCCATCTGCTTAGCGGCTTCGAACAGCTCTTGAGAGGCGAAGGGAGCGTCTAAACATTGTTTTGCTGATGCCGGAATACTGAGCTTTAACGAGTCCCAGAAAGTAGATACCCTTGAGAGATCCGTATCCGCAGAGCCTTGGGTACGCCTCGAAGTCACTATGTCATCAAAAAAA